AGAGTTAGTCCTCACACTTCTTTTAGGAATTCCTAGTAAATCACTCAGTTTAATAATATGTTCCGTAGACTTATTTAAATATGATAAATTGTTTACCATGAGGTGAAACGCATCGAAACCCCTTTTTTCAGTTATGCATGCTCAGCTTAAAAGACCGTTGTTTGCGGTTGGTTTCTGTTGGCAGATTTCTGCCGGTCGCCCACTCTAGGGCAAATACAGAAGGGGTTTCGATTTAGCTTTTCAAGATTAAGGTTCTGCACCGTGCATAAGACACCTTGTCCAGTTTTCTTCATTGTTTTTTTTTTGATTTTTTGGCCTCTGAGCGTGACGCTGGATAAGTAGATTTTGCTCTCATGCCAGAACTTGACGATCCGGCTCCTCCAATAGAAAAACCAGTTGATTTTCTCACTTATTTCGGCGGTAGCTGATACTGTTGCGTGCCCGTCCGCTTAACTGAAGGTAAATCTCGAAAAATGGGGCCACTGGCAATCCTGCCAAAGGGTGGTTTTGGCGCATGTTGCCGTTCGGCTTATTTGCTTTTGCCGGTCATGGAAAAAATAGTTATCGGAAAAGAGGCGTGAAATTGGAAATCCTAAAAGAGGCGTGAAGGTTGTCGTCCTGTGAACTGAATTATCATTTCACTTATTTGTCGGCTTATCGTTGCTGATTAGTAATATTTTTCAGAGCTCAGTGAATAATTTCGAGTTGCATTATCGGATTCTTGGTCATCTCTCATCAGTTTTTTGTGTTGCATTTGACAAATCTGGATCCTATGTTGTTACGGTATTTTTTTCCCGAATTTTCATTCTGCGTTACCAGCAGTACTTCTTGTTTTCACCTTTTGTTGAAAATAATAAATTTAGGTCGAATTGCTGTTTGTGTATGCGTAATTAGCTGTTTGTAGGGTGCTGATGACAATCTCGTAAAAGTATGGTGTGTCTCGTCCGGCTTGTTGCGTTTCACATTGAGGGGCCATGCAGCAGAAATTTCAGACATTAGCATCTCCGAAGATAATACACTGTTGGCAACGGGCTCCGTGGACCGATCAGTCAGGTGGCTGTATTAATTTCTTACCACTGAACTCTCGTAAAAGTGGAATTATATCACTTTTTTTTTTTTAATTTTGGATATTTTCAGAGTTTGGTGTTTGCAAACAGCGGCCCCAGTGTGTTTGTTTCGGTCACATTCTGCCATAGTTACACTTGTTACATTTCTGCCATTTGTTGACGGGACGGTGCGTTATTTGGCTTCGGCTGGTGGCGATTGCACTGTTAATTTCTATCGATATTGCTCTGCGGATCGTGAATTTGAGTATGCTTCTTGCTTTCGTTACCATTTAAGATTGCCCCC